AGACAGTCATGAATTCTTTATAAAAAATGGTTTAGGGGGCTGGAGAAATGACTCAGCAGTTAAGAGCATTGATTGCTTTTGCAGCAGACAAATCTGTAGCTGACAACCATCTGTAACTCCAGTTCCAGCGGATCCAACGCCCTCTTCTGACCTCTACGAGCATTGCATGACATGGGTGCACTTACACACATGCAGGCAATACACTCATATACAAAAAAAATAAAATATTTTAAAGCAGTTTTTATTTATTTCTATTTTATTTTATGGCTGCCTTCCATGTTTTGCCTGCATGTATGTAAGTGCACGAGTGTCATGAAATGCTCATGGAGGCCAGAAGAGAGTATCAGATCCCTCAGAACTAAAGTTATAGATGGTTGTTAGCTGCTATGTGGGTACTGGAAACCAAAGCAGGGTCCTCTGCAAGAGTAGCCAGTGTTCTTAGCTGCTGAGCCATCTCTCCAGCCCCAGTCACGTATTGTACATAGCATATTGGATAAGAGCAGGGGACTAAGCCAAACTGTCTCAGTTCAAACTGCCTCCACTACTCACTGGAGATTTAACTTCAATCAAGTTGCTTAGTCTTGGGACTGTAGAAAAAATTCACTGGTTAAGAGCGTATACTCCTCTTGCAGAAGACCCAAATTTGGTTCCTAGCACCCATAATTGATGGTTCATCCTCTTCTGGCTTCTTCAGGCACTGGCAGAGAGAGATAGAGAGAGAGAGAGAGAGAGAGAGAGAGGAGAGAGAAGGAAGGGAAGAGAGGAAGGGAGAATTACTTTTCTTGTTGCTCCTATAAAACACCTGACAACAGGAACATAAGGAAGGGAGGTTTATCTGGCTCATAGTTTTCAGGGTGCCATCCATCAGGGTGGGAAAGCACGGCGGCAGGAGTATGAGGCAGTTGGTCAGATCACATCCACAGTCAAGAGGTAGAGAGAGCACCCTGGAGCTCAGCTCACTTCCTCCTTTTTATTCAATCCAGGACCCCACACTGATACTACCTATGACAGCAAGTCTTGACCGAGACTGTGGCTTCTAGAATCCCCAGTTATTGCTGTACAGGCACAAGTGCCACAGCCTCTTTGCAGCAACATGCTCTGCCTTGATAAATTATGCATAATCTTAACATACGCAGCCCAGAGAGTTGCCCCAGAAAAGAAAAGGTTATGTTTACCTTAAAACCCGTGTGAACGTCCCTAGCAGCTTAGTCACAATGGTCAAAACCTAGAGAGGACCCCCAAATGGATGAATCTCACACCAAAATGAGCTTCGCAGATAAATTTTGGTACAAACGTACAACCCAGCACACAGCCAAATGTTATGCAGCTGGTAAAAATGGGAATCCATTTACAAGTGTGAACACACACACACACACACACACACACACACAAAACAACTCAAATCCATGGAGTGGATGCTGGCACA